GGGGCAATGCACTGTAGCGTACTCGAACACGTATATCAGAAAGGCAGGCGAGGATCTGCGTAATAAATAGACAGCGGTTGACCATCGTTCCAGCGCTGCTGCCGTCTTGCCCACAGTTTATCAAGCTATCCTCAAAAGCAGGTGCATAATTTTTTAATTTTAATGTGTCCTTGAAACAAGGGTCGAGGTAGCTTGCAACGCTGAAAGCTACGTCTCTACCAACTGCACCCAGATGCTTGCTTGAGCGGTGTTCATTACGAAGGATGAATGAGAGTTGCCACGAAACGCTCTTCATCTGTGCCATGTTACATGTCTCTTCCAGCATCTTCGCTAAAGACCGAAGCTGCGGCAATACCTGGCCCAGTTTAGCGGAATCCATGCTATGGAGATGTGTCACCTGGTCAAATGGTCGCAGCACATTGACCATTGCATTCAGCAAAGCCCATTGTTCAGGTCCAAGGGGGTGTTTGCTTGAGTCTTCGAAGTACTTTGTGACTGCTCTTTGTTGTTCACACATTTGTTCCACCATATAACATGTGCTATTCCACCTTGTTGGGACGTCTTGAATCAACTGATGTAGTGGTAAGCTGTGATGCTGCTGCATCTCTGCTAACGTTGTGCGAGCTTTTGCAGAGTAACAAGAGTGGCCACAAATTGCTCCAGCAGTCTTGAGAGTTTTGTCGGCCTCATTGTCAAATTTGTGTGGTCCTGTCTTCACAACCAAGTTAAGGCAGTGCAGTAAGCAAGGAACATGCTTTAAAAGGTCTCTTGGTGCCACGTCACCTATGAACAAATTCAGTTTCTCCACTCGATTTAGCGGGAAATTTGGCATCACGTGACCTCAACGGCAATTCAATTCCCTGCTAAATTTAGTGGGAAAATCGACGTCACGTGACCTCATCATCAATTCAGTTTCCCCGCTAAATTGAGCGGGGAAAATGACGTTACATGACTTGGTGTTACGTCACCTTTGAACAAATTCAGTTTCTTCGCTATGTTTAGCAAAAAAATTGACGTCACGGAGGAAGAAGAAGAAGAAGAAGAAGAAGAAGAAGATGACGATGACGAAGAAGAAGGTGATGATGAAGAAGATGAAAAAGGTGATGATGAAGAAGATGAAAAAGGTGATGATGAAGAAGATGAAAAAGGTGATGATGAAGAAGATGAAAAAGGTGATGATGAAGAAGATGAAAAAGGTGATGATGAAGAAGATGAAAAAGGTGATGATGAAGAAGATGAAAAAGGTGATGATGAAGAAGATGAAAAAGGTGATGATGAAGAAGATGAAAAAGGTGATGATGAAGAAGATGAAAAAGGTGATGATGAAGATGAAAAAGGTGATGATGAAGATGAAAAAGGTGATGATGAAGATGAAAAAGGTGATGATGAAGATGAAAAAGGTGATGATGAAGATGAAAAAGAAGATGAAGAAGAAGAGGATGATGATGAGAAGGGGGTGCAGAGGAGGAGGAGGGGCATATACCATCCCATCCTCCTCCTCAAAAGGTGTGCTCTAATTTCGCAAATGTCTTTTATTCTTTTATATATGTACATATATATAAATATAATATATAAATAATATACATATATATATATATAATTTATATTATGAACACAGGAGTACAAGGTCTATATTTGTACATATACGTGAGGTAGAGGGGCTTAGAGCGATACTCTGGTATCCTGTTTAACAGGCAAAAGTGACCCCCACTTGGCTGCCGCCATGTTGTACAATTTTGACTACTAGACACGTGACCGTACCAAATCCTGAGTCTTTTACGCAAAACTGAGCTAAAATTTGTATTGTGATCGCTGTAAAAAAATTGTAAACTATTTTTTCAATACTGTTAGCCCCAGAGATCAGTGTCTAGCTCTAATTAAAGCCCAAAATACAGCACAGCGGCTGACGGCATCTACCGGAAGCATTGCGAAACTGCCAGAGGTTTTGTCTTAAAAGCATATTTTGGACTTAAAAGGGGGGGTGCAACAATTTTAAGATTAAAAGATTTTGCATCTCGTCATTTTTAGGTTGTTTATCGTGTCCCGGAGGATGGAGAAAACATCTCCTTTATTAAAAATGTCGCGATTTCGCTGCATAATCGCAAAGCAAAAGTCTAGCTCTTTCCCCCACCTGCAGCCGCAAGTGGCAGCCGAGGGAACTACGGCGAAAAGATTGTGACCTCACTCGGCTCTAAGCTGCAGCATAGCGTCCGCTAAGTTCAGCAAGGAGAGGGAGAGGAAGCGTCCTCCGAGGGGGCACACGGGAAGCTGCACGGCGCCCCGAGTTACGTCATTAGGAGGGGACCAGGTGTGACCCTGAAGGCTGGGAGTGAGTTGAGGGGTGCCAGAAATGTTCACCTTTATCTTTTTTTTTTTTACAACGACTAGGACATGCAGGCGAAATCGGTTTTCTGTTCTTTACTTCAGAACTGTCAGAGGGCAACTTCCATAAATTTTTGACCAAAGTCCAGAAATCATTGCCCCCCCTTCCCCCCCCTTTAAAACCACCGAAACATAGCTTATCTTGTTGGTACTGTTATTAAAGATCAATAGGCAATTATTTGTGTGTGGTAATTCATTAAAATCTAGACGTAAGACTATAAAGGCTCGTTCAGACACTTGTAACCGAGTACGACCGAGAGAGACGAGACCGGTTTTTAAGCCTCTTGCGACGTCTTAGGACCAGATGGCGCTGCTGCGAAGCTGGTCCTAAGACGTCTTAAGAGGCTTTAAAACTGGTCTTGTCTCTTTCGGTCGTACTCTGTTTCAAGTCTGTGAACGGTGAAAGGGCTACTCCACCGATTTTTTTTCATTGTCTCCGATTTGCTTGAAATTTTGCTAAACTAACCAACAAACATCGCAAAAATAGTATCCCAAATATTAGGTCAAAATATTGTTTTTTCGCGAAGTTATTGAATTTACAGTTTTGGTCCTCACCGTGTTTTTCAAGCTCGAAGTCTCTACTGGCAACAATGAAAAAGTGACGTCAGTGGAAGGCAGGGGTTCACTCTTTGGGCTGTAGATTTTGTTTTAAACTGATTCGAAGCAGTTTCATGGTGTCAAATGAATGCTTGGGAAGCTCGCTGCAGTACCCGCGCTCCAGCACGGAACAAATGATTGGCATATTCTATTTTTTGGCTGCTTGCTCGACTGGCAAGCCTGCCTGCCACTGACGTCACGGCCCTGAAAAGCGCGCGTATATTTGAATGTTGGTTTTTGCATCATTTTCATTTGCCCATTTTGCAATAACTATTATGAATTTCGTGATTCTAAATAGCATACCGGAGAGAGTAAAGGCCGGGGAGTCAGAAAATATAATTAGTTGAGGTAGCTCAAAAAATCGGTGGAGTACCCCTTTAAGGCCACGTGTCTAGTGGTCAAAAAAGTGCAACATGGCGGCGGCCAATTGGAGTCACTTTCAGCTGCCAGTTTGTTGCTCCCAAGGTTCTCTGCCTCGTTAAAAATATGGCATGAATGTTTATGAAACTGATTACCGTGTATCTTTACTTCACCAATATAAAATAGTGCGCTATCACAATCGAGAACCATATGCGTAAGATTAGTGCTCCCCGCAACACGTGCTGGTTGGAAGGGCACTTTCGACCTGCACTCATCTTTCACCATGAGCTCAGAATAATTCTGGCAATGCTATAAGTGACCATTTTTCATAGTGCATAGAGTTGATCTCTCAAATACTTTAAAACCTTTGGTCTAGTTATATGTTGACGAGAAGGGTTCCAGGGCTGCCCATTGGGTGGCACCAGCATGCCAGTGTGATCTCTAGTATTCCCTGACAAGATTTACGACTCCTATGGCATGAAGACCGGGTGACTTCCAGACGAGAACTACAACAAAGAAAGCAGATCACGGATTTGCTCTTTGGCCATGTTGGGACAGCAAACCTTGGGCAACATATAATCTTTCCCCACCTTTTATCTTTCATTCCTCTCAGATGAGACGATTAAATCAAGCTATCTTGGTTTTAGAGCGCAGCTCTGAAGCACCCGTTTCCGGCTTGAGCGGCATCCACGTCGGCGTAACCGCGCGTTGCATTATGGGGCGTTTGTCATAATGACGTTGTGTGTGACATCACGAGGATGACTCGTGACGTCACCGTGTGTTGCATTATGGGCAAAATTTCACAATAAATTTACTGGAAAAAATTACCCACTAAATTTAGTAGAAAATTTTCCACTCTAAATTTAGTGGAAAAAATTCCCTGCTAAGTTTAGTGAAAAAAAATTCTCTGCTAAATTTAGCTGTAAATTTAGTGAAAACTTCCCACTAAAGGGGAGGGGAGTAGGAGAGGAGGAAGGGCATACCCTCCTCTTTGTACTTTCCCCTCTTCCTCCTCAGGAGCTGCGCTCTAATTCGCCGTTACAAAGGATTGTAAACGTCTTTTATTTTTTTCTTTCGTCTTAACAAACATATTCTACTACTACTGGCATTCCCTCCATCACAAGTACTCGCAGTACACTCTCAATCAGAGTTAAATGGAAATCTGTGACCCGGCCTCTAGTCATCCACAAATGTGAACATCTTGTACGGACGGTTGCCGAGCGGGCGGCAGTCTCGTAAACTACTACCGTAAAATCCAGAGAGATGCCCCGCCCCCGAAAGATAGCCCACCCCTTTTTTTGGCTTGATTTGCTATATTTTTTTAAACACTGAAGGATAGCCCACTCCTAGTAATAGTAGTGTTGGGATCAATGATGGCCTCGGTGTAAATGCTGCTTGTTTGCTATGGCGGGATATAAGCAAACGTTGCTGACTGGGAAGTACAGTCATCTTTGCTTCATTGACCCTCGCCACCTTGACGGGCTGGGAAGGGACACAGTCTAAAAATAGCAATTTTTAAAACCTTTCTTGATTATTCAACGAAAGTTAGCCCACTCCATATTTTCACCTGATTCGCTCTTGATGTTAGGTGGGATTTTATGGTAGTCTCACGCACCGTGTTCACGCACCCCGTGTGTCTCTTTCGGGCGGTGCCCTTGCAGCAGCAGCGTGAGGAGACAGCCCGGCTGGTGCTGAGCCAGCTGAAGGAGATCACGGGGGTGGAGGATGCGGCCATCCTGGAGCAGGCCCTGGAGGCAAGCCGCACCCGCTCGGGGGACTACGACCTCTCCCAAGCCGTCAGCATGCTCGTGGACGAGGACGCCACCGCTTCCCCGGCCGCCTCCACCCATGGCACCCAGGTGACCCACCCATGACCCACATGTGGCCCACGGGAACGTAGCCAACCGAGTGCTCTCGTAACTTCGACCCTAGGACAACGCTAGAGCCGCCGAATGAGCCATGCATAGAGCGCCTGCACTCCATTCCTCAGTTGCCTCGTGGACGCCGCCATTTGGTGCTTCGAGCAGAGCGGGCACAACTGCCGACTGTTACGACTCAAAAATGCGACTTTTTCAGCTTTTCTGTGGGCTTTCTTAGCTTTAAGCCGAGCAACTCCACGCTGACTCAATGGCAGTTAATTGGCGCGATTGCGGGAGAGAGAGCACGTCGTGGTGTTTAAATGTGTGTCGTCTGCAGGTGGCAGCCAAGCCGGAACTGTCGGGCGACGGGGTAGCCTTAACGAGCAACAATGGCGGTCCATCATCCTCGCCGCAGAAGCGGCCTGCCAAGGTGATCGACCTCACCGCTGCTGAAGGAGATGACTTGCAGAAGGCCATTGCCCTCTCGCTACAGGAGCAGCAGGTTAGCACTTGCTTCCATTTCCACTTCCATGCACCTATTCACCATATACAAAGTGCCACCGGGTGGCCAGTCATTGAAATTGACGCTTCGCAGTTTCAACGATCGGCCACCTTATGGCGCTGCATGTCCGTCAGCGCCAGTCAGCGCGCCAACAGCAAAAGTCGAAAGCCTGTCTTGTCTGTTTGTCTTCAATGTCCCTCTTTCCTTATCATAAATTAGAAACCAACACACTTAACCATCTACAGCAAGATTGATGTACATGCTTTCGCATTCACAGCTCATAAGAAGTGCTTAGGTGTACCTCAATCTTTTTTTTTACTGTATCATGCGTGCAACTGTGTTTGACAAAAATATGTCAAAGCATATTTTTGCTTCATGGTTCGCAGTAACACTTATCGGTCTGAGTTTGCTGTGGGCATAGAGCCCCACTGCCTAAAAGTGGGGCAAGCATTGCAGAGAAGTCAGCCCTTTCTTCATGTCTTTGATATTCAGAGAAGTTTTTCCATGTTCTTTTTGTTGAAAACCAGAAGCTCTTTAACTCCCCCTGCGGACAGCTGAAGCGAGCGCCCACTGTCATTGCTCGTCCCAGGTGGCCGGGGTGTCTGCAGAGGAGCAGGACATCAGCCGGGCCCTGGAGCAGAGCCTGGGGTCCGGGGGCAAGCGCAAGAGGGGAGCTGATGCCTGGCAGGATCCGGCCAATCCCCACGAGCGCAGGCGCCAAGGGGACTGGCCCGTGGGCATCAAAAACGTCGGCAACACCTGCTGGTCAGTGGGCATAAAGCGCCTCGTGGGTCCGCACGTCGGGCTGCAAAGTAATGCTTCCCGGCTACTTTTTGAGCTTGCCCTCTTATAACAAATTCATTTTAGCTGGAAGGCTTTAGATGCAGTGGAGCCTTGTTTATACGTTCCCAGTTTTTTGTGTTTTCCCGGCTTTTACGTTCAGAAGCGCCGGTCCTGCCGAGCCCCCATAGGAACACACGCATTAGTCCCTCCTTACTGCGTTCGCTTTCCCAGTTCTTGCACCCAAAAAAGTGACCGACCAATTCATATGACGAACTGATTGGCGGGCGGAGTGATCAAGTGACAACATGTTTGCAGATCGTCCGCCTCCCAAGCGCATTCACAGGGAGGAGGAAGACAAGGGACAGTGAGGATAATCCTAACCGCTTAACGACTGCACAGTGGCATCATTGTCCAAGTGCAACATTTGTCGCTGCGGTCGCAGCGCTATTACAGTAATACGAAAAATAATCGTTCTGTACTGTGGTTACGTGCCGCACGAGACAGAACACTGCAGGATGCTTAACTCAAGGCACCACTACCTTTACCAACCCAAGGCTTAACACAGGTGTGGTCCTGCTCGAGGGGGGTCGGAGTAGAAGCGACGGAGTCCTGGGCTTGCGAAGGGGTGTTTGCCCTTGTCCTCGTCCCCACGCGCTCATGCACATCACTTCAATACACTGCAGGCGCAGAAAGGTCTGGCCCAACCTCGTTGGTTCTTGTTCTCGTCGAACGAGAGGCTGTATGGATGTGCAGGATAGAGCGGACGTGCTAGATGGGTTTTGACAGAAGCTTCTTAACGCAAAACCTGGAGGAGTACCGGAACCTGCAGTGCGTCGGCCGGGAACAGTTCCTGCAGCTTTTTTCATGCCTGGAACAAAGAATCGCGTGACAGAACGAACCAGCAAACAGACAGAATGAACAAAAGGAAACGATGCACCATCTTTGTTTTGCTTGTGAAAAAAGAAAAAGGTGTGTCGTTGCCAGACAAAACGCTTTTCGAGTCAACCCCCATCGAAAATCCATGAAAAACGCAAACCAAAAAACCTGAGTGCCTTTTCACTCACAGATTTTTTTTATTTCAATACAGTAAAACCTCGTCATAACAAAATGGGATATAACAAACAAATGGATATAACAAAGCAATCATAATTCCCCTTGCTTGAATAGTTGGAAGAAATGGACATTGGCTATAACAAAGTAATGGTTATAACAAAGTAATTACGACCGCTCCTTCAACTTCTTTATAACGAGGTTTTACTGTATTTCTGACCTGTCATCAAAAGCAACTTTTTTGTTTTTGAACGAACAACACAAAGTTGGTTGGTCCTTGTCCTTTGTTTTGCTTTTGTTTGTTAGCTGGTTCGTGTTGTTGTGCGCCTCTTGGTTCCACACACACCATACGTGAGAGAAGCTGTGAGAACTTTGCCCAGCTGACGTACTGCACATTCTGGTACTCCTCCAAGTCCATGTAAAGAAGCTTCTGTCAAAACTCGTCTAGCATGCTACAATCTCTCTTGCACATGTTCTACAGCATGTTTTCCAGTGAGAACTCTTTTGCATATTTGCTGTATGAAGTGTTTCGCACAATTGCTCGAGGTCCCAACAAGGACATCGGCAAATGCCCCCTGCAAGCCGCGAACTTCGTTGCTTGCCCGTGTTTCAGTCACCCAAAGCTTCAGGTAGAAATTATAAGCTTTTTCTGAATGTATTCAAGTCACGCTGACAAATGTTTTCAAATTTCTTTAGTACATGTCTGAGGTCGCGCCTACAAACGTTTACTGAATGTTTATTTAAGTTTACATCTATTAATGTTTACCGACTTTTTCTGAGCCAATGTAAGTTCATACCTATGAATTTTTGCATAAAGTAAATTGTTTCGTGACAGTTGCTATCTGTCTCATCTCTAGAGCCCCCGGAATGGCGTTCTCGTTCCTTATGTTTTCCCGGATTGTATGTTTTTTTATTTCCCCGGTCCCCTGATAAATGTATTAACAAGGTTGTACTGTATATGCGGTAAACAAGAGACATACTTGTCCTACTCCAGCACCTAGCAAAAAGGTTTTCTGGGAGTTGAGCATCCCTCCAACTGACCCCCCCCCCCCTCCCAGGTTCTCCGCGGTGATGCAGTCACTGTTTCACCTGCGCGTGTTCCGACGCCTGGTGCTGGCCTTCGAGCCCGTGAGCGTGCCGAGCGGCCAGCCGGCCCAGGAGCGGCGCAGCCTGGGGCTCATGCAGGAGCTGCGGCCCCTGTTCGCCCTGCTGGGGGCCACCCGCCGCAAGTATGTGGACCCCGGCCGGGCCCTGGAGCTGCTGCGAGAGGCTTTTGCCGGCTCGGGGGCCGGGGCCCAGGGAGGGTCCCAGGGCCAGCCCGCACCGGCCGCCCAGTCCCAGCAGCAGCAGGACGTCTCGGAGTTCACCCACAAGCTGCTCGAGTGGCTGGAGGAGGCCTTCCAGCTGGCACGCTGCAGCCCTGCCAGCGAGTGAGCCACACCCTCTAACTCAACTGCCCTAGTTCCGCTTTTTAGGGGCGAAGCTCCTTAGGGTCTAGCCATGTCCGTCTGGCGTCCATGCTCACTTCGATCTTGCTGGTGCTCGTGCTCGGGAGCTCACATGCTCGTGTAGGACAAAAAAAAAAAAAAAAAAAATAAAAAAAAAATGATGAGAAAAAAAAAAAAGTTTGCGCAGTCGACAGAATGAACCTGTGCGGGGAGACCCCAATGGATTTCTAGTCCGTCGCCTTAACCACTCGGCCACGACTGCGGGACGAGGGGGCTCTGAGATGTGGTAGTAACTCAAGAGCTGGGGATGTCATGGATGAAACGTTGCATGTAGCCGCTCAACGTCTATACAGGAGAGGGTGCTGCGGTCAAATGTGTATATAATCGCGTTAAACTTTGCATGCATTTGCTCAACGTTTATAGACGAGAGGGCGCTGCAGTCAAATGCTCAAATGCGTATATAACCACGTTCCATACCACATATTCTCTTTCTGACATGGAGGAAAACGAACGAAAGGCTCTGCGTGCTGCGGCTCAGCATCTATGCAGACAAACACCACCAGAGCTTCGCCCCAATCAACATCATTCACCACGTGGAGATGTGGTCAATTTTAGTGCGGTGCAAAACTGAAGGGGACGAGGCAATGAGAGCATGAGGTAACGTAGAGCGCCGAGTTCCGATTGGAAGGATAGTGGGCAAAGCAGAGGCTAGCCGGCTTTGTCTCTACCTCACGTCTTCCTCCAGTTGGAGCGAGGGAGAGCGTCTGCCGCTCACGCAGGGTCTGATGTTCGGGCACCAAACGCCAGACTGTGCGAAGAGTGGATGATACTGTTGTTCGTTCAGATTGGAAAGAGTTGGCAGGTAGAGACGGCCAGCCTTTGCGTCTGCACTCTATCCTTATGATCGGAGTTCGGTGCTCCGACATCGCCGCATACTCTCGTCTCCTCCTCTCTTTCAGGTTCTCTCTGCATTTCATAGTATGTGCTGTTGAGCCTAGAACTCAAAACCGACGTAGCTGTCACACGATTCACATGAGGTCTCCAGGCTCTGAGAAAGTACCGTGTTTGCACAATTCTAATGCACATTTTGTTCGCCAAAATCAGTGCCCAAACATACATGCACGTTACAATCGAAACCAAAAGCTTAAACTCAAAAAGAAAAACGCAATACTCTGTGTAAGGCTGCTAGCCCTATGGCCATCATGACCGTTTGTTCACATTCGGTCATGACAGAGGAAGGGTACACCTTGGGCATGAGTTTTAGTAGTGACAAGTCTGGGGTAATGGTGTTCAACGACAAAAAGAGGGAACCCCTGAAGATATAAGACATTGTAATAGACCATGTATGAAAATACAAATATTTGGGAGTCTGGCTCATTGAGGGAAGGAAATATCTAGAGGAACATGAGGAGAATATAATTAGAACAAGGGAAAAGAAATTAATCTATTATGAAGCTCAAGGCACTATGGAACTATAATAGATATGAAGTGGTCTACCAGGGCCCGTTTGCTCGAAGCACTAACCGCGGCTAAAGTTAGCCGCAGTACCTAGGAGAGGGATTTTGAGATCACGTGACTGGCTCGGTAGGGATGCGGGGAAACATGGCGTTGCCCCAGTGAGTGAGCGCCGCTCGCTTTGGAACTAATATGTCGTTGTGGTTGCAATATCGGGCGCGTTAGTCAGCAACGAATGGTGCAGGAGGCTTTCGCTTTGCCTTACCTCATTAAACCGCAAAGCATGGGCAATGACATCGCCGCATTTTTTAGATAGTGTTTCGATTCTGGGCACTCGTAAGCCTAAATGAACGCGATAATTGTCGGCATAGCAACGTCTTTGGAAAGCGGATTGTTGATAGCACACAAAAGCAGACGGCATCCCAACAGACCTTTTTTCTAAATTATCCAAGCACCGAGGTGCATGCTACGATTGTAGTTGCACGCGTCGCACGTGCTGGCATCTGCAGTAGTAACCGTTCTGAAGCAAAAAGTATAAAACAAATTTTGCCTTGCACGCGCATTCGTTAAAGCCTTATTATGATTTTTTACTTCAAATCTTTCATAAGAGGAAGGCCAGCGCGCGTGAACCGTAGAATTACACTTCCAGCGTTCTCCTCGCGATGCTTCGATAATTTACAAAAAAAGTCTGTCGGGGCGCCGTCTGCTTTTGTGTGCTATCAACAATCCGCTTTCCGAAGACGTTGCCATGCCGACAATTATCGCGGTCATTTAGGCTTAGGAATGCCCAGAATTAAAACACTCTCTAAAAAATGCGGCGATGCCCGATGTCATTGCCCATGCTTTACGGTTTAAGTGAGGTAAGGCAAAGCGAAAGCCTCCTGCATTATTTGTTGCTGACTAACGCGCCCGATATTGCAGCTACAACGACATATTAGTTCCAAAGCGAGCGGCGCTCACTCACTGGGGCACCGCCATGTTTCCCCGCATCCCTACCGAGCCAGTCACGTGACCTCAAATTCCCTCTCCTAGGTACTGCGGCTAACTTTAGCCGCGGTTAGCGCTTCGAGCGAACGGGCCCAGGACTGTCTTTTGGCAGCAAGGTACTCTGCATGAAATCAGAGGTTTAATCAGGATTAAAAATTCATTGAAGAAGCATAGGCAGATTCACTCTGGGAGCACATGGAAAGACACCAAATGAGGGAGTACAGGGTACATGGGCTGGTCGTCTTTTGGGAGCAGGGAGGCAATTAGTCAGTTGAAATTGGAACAAAGGTTGACCAAAATGGATATTTTGGGGGGGGGGGGGGGGGGGGCACAGAAGGTATTCAAGTATTTTGTACATAAAAAGTTTAAATACAAAATGGACAAATCAAAGCCAAAAACTTACATTTAAATACTGACACTCTAGTGATGGGGCTGACCTGACTACTTCAGTGGAAAAAGGAGTGAAAGTGTGAGAAAGGAAAATATCGGAGGGGAGTATGCAGGAAAACTCATCTCTAACAATGTAAAGGTCACTAAGACAGGACATCAGAAAGGAAAATGTGTTCGACAATTCACTGGGAAGCTCTTTGCTGTTTGAGGCAAGAATCGGGAGTTTTGAGGACGAGGTCCTATAGGGCTAAATTTAAGGAAACAGAAACATTATGTGCCGCGTGCCATAATGAAAGTGAGACATTAGAACACTTGTTTTTAAAGTGCACGGGGCTTGGCCCTGCCCTTCCTGAAGGGGTAACAGATTTGGCCAGGGCCCTAGGTTTTCTGGCAACAACGGAGGGATGCAAGACAAAAGGATTACAGTCACAAAGAGGTCATTAGAATATTGGTGGAAATTATCTAGGGAAAATTGAGTGATGCACACCTGACTAGCACAGCTGGGGACAGGTGGGACAGAGGAAAATTTTGACTCCCTTTCGCGTGGCTCCGGCCCAAAGTTTTAACCTGTCTCCCAGTGGGTCTGGTGCCGGGGTAACGCTGACAAGGTTTGACCAGAGGAAAATTGGCGACTCCCTCGCTGGGGGAAAGAGGCGAGGGTGATGTTTTAGGGGCGAAGCTCCTTAGGGTCTAGCCTTGTCCGTCCAGCGTTCGTGCTCACATCAATCTTGCTCGTGCTCGTGCTTGTCCTCGTCCTCGTCAGCTCACGTGCTCACATGCTCGTGTAAAGCAAAAAAAAAAAAAAAAATGAAAAAAAAAAATGTTTGTGCAGTTGACTGGATTCGAACCTGTTTGGGGAGACCCCAATGAATTTCTATCTAGTCCATCGCCTTAACCACTCGGCTACGACTGCGGGACAAGTAGGGGGCTCTGAGATGTGGTAGTAACTCATGAGCTGGGGATGTCATGGATGAAACGTTGCATGTAGCCACTCAACGTCTATACAGGAGAGGGCGCTGCGGTCAGATGCGTTTATAATCACCTTAAACTTTGCTTGCACTGGCTCAACGTTTATAGACGAGAGGGCGCTGCAGTCAAATGCTCAAATGCATATATAACCACGTTCCATACCACATATTCTCTTTCTGACATGGAGGAAAACGAACGAAAGGCTCGGCATGCTGCGGCTCATCGTCTACGCAGACAAGCACCACCAGAGCTTCACCCCAATCAACATCAGTCACCACGTGGAGATGCGGTCATTTTTAGTTTTGTTAATGTTGAGCCAATCATCCCCCCAAGTTTTGGTTGTCTTTATGTCAGTATCTGTTTGTTTCGCGCTAGTAGGCAGGGTTGGCAGTGGTACAACTTTCCCATGGTCCTGTGACTTCAGGTTTGCAGAGTTCATGACTGCAGTCTTGTGTCATGAACTCTGTGAACCGAGTCTCGAACACCAAGTCTGAAAAGCGAGCAATGGGTTGAATGGCATTCATAATTGTAGTCGTCGTTATACAGTCACTCTATCTGGACAGTGAAAGACTTGCAAAGATGTTTAAATAATCGAGTTGGTCTGAAATTTCGCCTTTTGAAAGGTTGGTCCATGACTCTACGTACAAAGCTTGAAAGTATAAAACAGAGGACGAGGACGGGAAGAGGACATCTTTCATTTTTGGGGTTTGGGCCAGACATCATTTGATTTTGGATTGGGTGGGGTTATTCTTTCATAAAAAAGGTCATGAATGTTATTTTTGAAGCTCGGCTCTGTTTTGAGATATTATGGGAAACAGCTGTTTTTTATGATCTGAATCATAAAAGTTGCAGTTTTAGACAACCTTTTTTTTTTTCAGTAAACTTATTGCTTCAAAGTTTTCTAAAGCGGGATTTTTTGTCAATATGTGAAAATGAGAAGCATTGGATTCAAGTTTTTATATCATATTTTTTATTACTTATTGATTTTTGCATTCAAGATATATGTACCGTATTTGCTCGCATAACAAACACACTTTTTTTTCTCAAATAATTGACACATATTTGATGGGTACGTTCATTACGTAGGGTAAAACTTGCGCATTTACACACTTTGAGCAGATGTCATTTTAGGTACCAATTTGGCACGGCAGGGTACTGTGGCACGTCTTCACTGACAGAGGCGCACTCATGGCTGGTCGTGAGCACGCCACAGTAACCATGCTCTCTAAATTTCGAACCTCCTTTAGGGCGCTTTTGCTGTGTCTTTTGCCAAAGAAAAAGCGCCCTATGAAGTTCACTCAGCACGGAGAGCGACGCGTCTATTCTTAGGCCTAACCACTTTCTCAATATCACTGTCCGAAAGCGGATCACAGACGACGGCGTGTTTGTTGACATCAGTGCATTCGATGGACGATGCACGTCCGGGGCTGGTCAATCCCTCGACCCCAGCTTCGCTAGGCATGCGCGCTGCTCGGTTTCACGGTTGAATATATCCGCAACCACGCAATTGCAGCCATTACGAGAGCGGCTTGGCTTGGCTTGACTTGGCCTGGCCGTTTAGCGGCAAGAGAAAATTGGCTTGGTGGCTAGCCAACTAGCTAAAGTGGATGCAGTTCAAGACTCGCGGAGCCGAAAATTAAAAGTGCGTTCATTACGCGGGGGGAAAGGAAACAGTCCAAATACTATTGATGCCCATTGTGGGCATCAATATTTGCGAGTAAATACGGTAGTGCTTGTGTAAGCAAAATCTAAAAGTTAGCTTGGTAGATGTGTTTTCAATAGCAAAAGCAAATTACAAAGAGAATTTGATTTTAATGTGACGCATTCTTTGGCTGGGTGTTTGGCATTTCGTGAAGCCCAGACAAAAGTGAAGCCTGGATAAAAGCGTGGCCGCAAGGCACGACACTGACTGGTTGATGGGTGGAAGAAGAGTGAGGTTCTCGACACTGATTGGTTAACGGGGATGTATGTGACCAGAAAAGTAGACAAGGAGGAGTGAGGCTGATGAGGAGAAGCTCGACCACCTGTGTCCACTGAGGGAGGGCAGCTCGAGCATATGGAAGGCTCTGGAAGGTCGCCACGTTTATCAGCCCGACCAATGATAGTATCACTTCATTCTAGGTACAACTATCAAGTGTACATAAGGTGCGCATTAAACTATCTGATGAAGAGTTTCGTGAACACGTAGGCGTCTGCTGCCTGGAAACTCAGACTATAACTAAATGTTTGTGATGCTAGAACGCTTCATGTATGCAAAACAGTTGCGTTGAAATTTGGCATTAATTTTTTTTGTCAATTCTTGCGTACGCAATAGTTCAGTCTGCTGTGGTGTCGAGACAGTCAACCAGCACTAAAGTAATTGTACTGCCCTTAGTGCTTTCATGCAACCTTTTGCACAAAGGACAAAGCAGGAGATTCTTGTATGGTTCGGCAGTTTGTGGTTTTTCCATTTCACGTGGCACACCTCCGAAGCAGTTGTGTTTTTGGAATTGCCGCATTACTGCAAGCTAATCGTCGTCTGTTTTAAATGTCCTTTTTAGCATTACTGCCATTCTTTCTTTTTGGTGTTGATGTGGCATTGGGTGTCGTCTCCTGCCTCTCGAGTCGGTATTTCCGAGATGTCTGAAGTGACTGGGTTGTTGCACTGTCCTTCTGTCTCAGGGTAGGGATGCCCAAGCTAGACCAGACCAACCCCATGCTGGACCTTTTCTATGGGAGGTTCCGCTGCGAGGGAGAGAGCGAAGGTGAGCCTGGCAACTTTTGATGGTGCTCGAACCTAAGGTGGCACCGACGCCGAAGTCGGCCCTGGATCCGTGAGGCAGTCTTGCAAGCGGATGTCATTTCCATCAATTTAGTTAGCTTACAGTTTTCTGTCGTACCCGTGCCAAATACGAAACTGTCTGTTTCTCTGACGAGAGGAAATAGCCATGAATAGAAAGTCAAATCACCTTATTCATATGACGAAGCAAAGTCTGGTTACGAGCGACGTCCCAATGATTGAGGAAAAGCGCGTCTTGGAAACAAAAAATTCAGCACTTATCAATCCAGACATTTACTAGGAAGCTTCGCGGCGTAGATGCATTCTGGAAAAAAACGGTGGTGCAGCGGCAAACCGGATTGTGCTAATTGTTCCGTAGTACTCGAACGAGGAACATTTTTCTCGCTCGTGAAGGGTAATGCACAAATTGCATCTCTCAATTGAGGGGCTTTGGCCATTGGTCTCACGCAGAATATAATGATCAAATTTTAGTCGCTGGCATTCGCAGGCTCTTGGCAGCCCATCGGGCGACTGTTTTGTCTTTTGTACCTTTGGACTTTCCAAGAAGAGTTTGCTGTGGAAAAAATAAAAGAAACGATCGATGACAAGATGAGAACGACAGGGAGGAGCTTTAGCCCTGAGCGTGTACGCGTGGCTGAAGCATAGCGAAAGGCATCAAGTGCATGCTGGAGTCTGGGCATTAGAAATATGTACCCCGCGTTCTCACTTTGTCAACGACCATGGCATCTGAACGGTAGGGCTTCACTAGCCGCTGAAGTGGATGGGCCCGTGCAGGTCTTCGCTTCTCCCGGGAGGAGGCCTTTGGTCAGTATCCCCTGCAAGTGAGTGGCTTCAGTGACATCCACGAGAGTCTGGAGGCAGCCACGACCAACCTGGAGCCCGAGGCTTTGACCGCCCCCGGGATGCGCCGCCTGGGACAGGAGGTGAGCCGCTTGCTCGACGTTTTCCTCGCTCCCCAGAGTTTCTGCGGAGTTAGCTTCCCGGGAAGTGCAACAAATTGGGTAGCCGTCAGTCGTCGTTAAAAATGCATAGTATTTATAGGGCGAGCTTTTGGCGCTTTGCTGTGTCATTCCTTGAACGCAACCTCGCTCAGCAACGGCGGGCGTGGCTTCACTGGTAGTTATCGGCGACTTTTGCGAAGTCGATGGCATTTAGTGGCTAAAACGGAAACTTGTAGCGGCAGGCTTGCTCGCTGGCTTTCTCGTGTGAATCGGCAACGGCGGGCGTGGCTTCACTGGTAGTTATCGGCGACTTTTGCGAAGTCGATGGCATTTAGTGGCTAAAACGGAAACTTGTAGCGGCAGGCTTGCTCGCTGGCTTTCTCGTGTGAATCGGATATTCACGGCACCAGGCGGCCTAAAGACGAAGCCGTGAAAGTATAATAAAAAACACGATGTGAAAGTCGCCCATAGCTGCGTGCTGTGCCGATAAACGTGTGCCGACAGCGAGTGTTCGCCAGATTCTTCTGCATTGTGAAAACCATTGTTCGCGGCAGGTGTTAAGATGCGTTACCTGCAACTTGTGCTGATGACGACGCGTGAATGCCTCTCATATCTGCGCATATACTTTCTCGCAAAGCATGTGGTCGTTATTTATGGAAAGAGACGTGCAAATGTTAGAAGCAAGATAAGATTGTTTCTCTGCTTACGCTGCGAGAAAAGTTAGTAGGGCTTTCTGCATAGAAAGGGCACCTTCACATACAAGGAAACAGGAAACGAGTAATAGGGATATTTTTGAAGTCACGAGCAGCAAAGATAGAAATCGAGTGAACACGCATGCTGCCATCTTGATCCACAGAGCTGGTTCACCAAGCTGCCGCCCGTGTTGGTGTTTGAGCTGTCTCGGTTCCGCTTCAACCAGCAGCTGGGCAAACCGGAAAAGATCCACCACCAGTTGGATTTTCCAGAGCAACTTTACCTTGACAGGTGTGTGTCTGAAACACCATTTGCAATTTTTGCAGCTGCGGTACTTGCTCTGCATTTTTATCCTACAATTAAGCATGCAAATTTAAGCATATTTTTATGCGCCTTCTTGCTCTCATTACCAGTGGACCTTCATGGCAGGCATTCTGGAGAAGGAATATGCTTGCTTTGTGCAGCGTGTCCCCCCCCCCCACCTAAAAAAAAAAAAATACATTGACAATTTTTTTTACACTGCAAAAATAAACTATGCAGCACCGAATGCTCAGTCCTTACCCAAATGTAGTGGTAGCAGTTTGGACCGGATGCCAAAGTTTCAGAACTGTAACCAGTATGTTACTCTAAGCGACTTACTAATTTTCGTGAAGACCTAATTTTTGTGAATTTTGCGAATCGCCTACATTTTGCAAAAAATAGGTCCCGCCAACAATTTCGGTAAAATCTAAACACATTCGAATCTATATTGACATCTCGCCACTTCGCAAAAATTAGAACCCGCAAATTATTCCAAAACTTCAGCTTTGACCTAAATCACGAAATATTGAACCCGCAAAAAATAAGTTGCTTACAGTATTCAGAAGTTATAAGCGATTTCTGAAACTTTCGATGGGAAAATGTGGCCCATTCCCTGTGCCCAACGTCATTAAAGGCACACACCCCCTGGGAGGGTCAACGTTTGAAATGTAATTTACAGGGTAGGCTGGTGGTCATGCTAGAGGATGCGTAACAAAGTTTCAGGTCTGTCGGTTCAATGGGAAGGAAATTGATGCAGCTTCTATCAGCAACACGCCTACATTGTTTAGTTAATCTATCGTCGGAAAACTATCACAATATTCAAGATCGTTATTTGCTAGATATGTAGCAGAATGCCTAGAGGGTGCGGCCATGGAAAGGTTTTTCTAGAAAGTATTTTATTTCTATAAAGTTTCTCTTCTGCGAAATCGGTAAACTTTTGGGTCTTCTGTGTCTTCGACAAAATGTAAACATTTTTTTATAAAAGACATTCGTAAATTGACAAAAAGGTGCCATAGCCACATTCCTTATTAAATTTAAGTCGGGAAAAGTGAAGAACGGGCCTTCCTTGTATTGCCATTATCAAACGATAGATTGACTAAAATGGAATTTGTACGAAAAAGTGGAACGGAGAAAAATGCAATCAAAGCGCTCCAAACCCTACCCTCTCTTTAGGTTCGGTGGACAGAAAATAATATATAAAAAATTAACTCTCTAGTGTAAATGAGTTAGACTTTCTGGGAATACTCTTTAGACGTTGGTGGATGTAAACATGTCATTTTTCAAAATCAACTTTTTTCAGAATTTTTTTTTTTTTTTTCTGGGCAGTGTCCTTCTTTAATCTTCACATATTTGTGCATCTCCTCGGCTGCCATTTTTCTATAGAAATTTCTGAAAATCGCTAATGGCTTTTGAACCAGGTGACGGTAAGTTCTGAAACTTTGGCATCTGATCCAGACTGCCGGTGCTACATTTAAATGGAGACTGAGCGTTTGGCGATGCTTGGCTTATTTTTACTGTGAAAGAAGCACTGTAATTGTTTTTCGGGGGCACCAGGCACAATTCAAGGGGGTTTTGTTGTCCTAATGAGAAGTAAACAGACATGTGACAAGGCTTAGTTTCTGTGAGAGGCATATATTGTGATAAAGAACAACAGTCAGAAGGTGTAGTGTGGTTAGGTTGTCTGCTTTCGTATCTTATTGACTTTTTAAAAGCGGCTCTATGCAAGTCTTTTGTGGGATTGAATCAGAAGGTCAATGTGGAATAGGTTGCTGTTACCAAACGAATTAAAAAACAGTTCAATGGGCTATCTAGCCTAAGGTTGTATTAGTATCCAAATTTTGTAGTGCAGTAGTTTTGAATAATACGCTATGCTACATTTTCTTTGAGACTGACCGCAATGTGCATACCTTCCGAAGTGTTGGCAAAGTCATAGTCGTGGCTGGTTAGTTAGCCCCATTGAGATGTCCCTCTCGCTGAGCAGGTGCACAATGTAAAAGCGATACCCGCCGAGCAGGCACCAGAGTCCTGCGAACCTCGCTTTGCCGCAGTGCAGACACCTGCTGACAGGTTGCGTGCGTCGAGATTGAAGGAGGGATATTTGGGTGTGGCAAGATTGATTACATATAGCTGGGCATTGCTCTAGGTTTAATTTAATGTATGGTACATCCCTTATTTGCCACACCTAGAACCACTTAATGAGCTATGCTTAGGGTGTCGCCACTCCATTTCCTGATCTGCTAGTGGGCGCTGCCATCTTGATGCTTAGTACAGGGCAGACGCAACTTTCAATCGTCGGAATCCAAAAATGCGACTTCCTCAGCTTTAGATACGATGTTGTGGAAGCTAAGGTGGTATAGTTTGGTTTTGTCACAAAGTGTTTTAACATTTTTGGAGGACGGAAAAGCGTTTCCTGCGATTTCAAGTAAAGCTTCAGGTAACTGGCTACCAAGATTCTAAGCAGCAAGATGGATTAAGTTTCGTTACGCTGAAGCGTAGTTCATTTGGTGACTCTGGCCGACTACAAATGGGAAATTTATGCAAAGATCACTTTTGTGAGTTCCATGGGACCTGCATTTGTGAATGTTTCATCCGGGCAAACATATCGGCCAATCGAGCGTACCAATGATGTTCTGCCACACAGCATATTGGGAACTGCAAATAGTTTTGGGGCCATTATCGAAATGTATAGACCTTTTTCGCAAGGGCGCCACCATCTTGAATTGTCGTCACTTCCAGTATGGGCGAAAACATTGTTTAGCCGTCACCACGCCAGTAGAAGGCATTTAGGACATAAACGTAGCCATCACGCATTCTCGTTTTGCCTCCCCTTTATTTTTTTACTATTTGCAGGTTGAAACGTTTTGATATTTTTTTGTCGCCCACACCGGATATGCCTACTTGGCGGTCGGGGGCGAGAGTAAGCGGAAAAGGTCTATAAACAGCAAACTGATGTTCTGAGAGCCATTAGTAGTACTCTCACAATTTATTCTCACCGCTACTTCGAGGGTGGGGTCATACTTTTGGCTAGTGCCTTGCCTGATTGGGTCCTCTGTCGCTTTCTTTGCAGGTACATGGAGTACAACAAGAACATCACGCGTAGCAAACGGGAAGAAGTGCGCCGGCTTAAGGCCGAGTGGGAAAGACTACACAAGTGCCTCAACAAGTGAGTTTCTCGTTCTCTCGTGCGAACAAAGTACAGAAGTGTTCAGGGTCGGTAAAGAATTGAAAAGGAACCTCTCTCATACCTCGGAAATGGCAGCTGAAGTTCCTCCAAGACCAAAAGAAAGCGTTCTCCCAACTTCTGCACTATTTTAGAAAATTTTAACTGTCCATTGACATTGACCCATCTGGCTGACATTCCTTAGTATGTGCATTTGTCTTGACAAAATCTGCAGGCTTCTGCAGTACCGTATTGCTTCAAAAAGAGGTCCTTTGGCTGCCATTCATAAGAGAGGCGCTCCTCGAGATTGAAAAGTTTGGAACCCCTGCGAGCCCAAGAGATTTAGCTTCTTCGGGACCACATGGCAATGTTGCACTCGGGCGATGTTGCCTTTTTGCTAGCTAACGTCACCCAAGTGACCTGTGCACCTCTTTTACGGTGATAGGTGTTCTGGGCTCTTTCCACCACTGGAAGTTACGTCCATTGTTGATTTTGTAGTTGGCGATGTGGAATGTCCGTCATCAACATTGCAAAGCCCTGAAAAAAGATTGTCCGCTGCTGCCCGGGAGAATCGAGCCCGGGTCCGCTGCATGCAAAGCGAAGGTGTTACCACTGAGCTGTGGCACAGCCGACAACAAGTCGCTTTCTGGGGTTTTGTAGTACCCGACGCCCACTGCACGTGCTCTCTGGGAAAGAAAAAAAAGAAAAGAAACAATGACCTATAAAGAGATGTTGTGGTACTGTCAATGCCAAAAGCTCGTGCCAGGAGATGTGCTTTCACGTGCTCCATAACAAAGAAAAAAACAGAAGCATTTGGAACAGGACAGAGAGGAACGACTCTGTCTCTGGAGGGGAGAGTTACGTGGTAGCGTCGATCGGAACGAGCAGAGAGCGCATTCTGAACGCCGGCCAGCGCACACATAATGGAATAGAGATTCTTAACCAAATCTTCGCATTGCGTGGTTGCATTTTTCTGTCATCCACTACGGGTCAGATGTCTGTTTTGTTCCGAACGCTTTTGTTCACGCACGCCACGGCGCATGATCGCGACGCCGATGCCCACAGCTTCGCTGTGACTCGTTGCAGCTATCGCTGTGACCATACTGTGGATTAACGCAGAACTGCTCAATTTTTTCATCTTGACGCTCAGACGAAACCTAAAATTCAAAACCTGCCGCCCGGTTTGTTACGAGACCAGTTAATGCGAGTCCCCTCATCCTCCGTGCCAGGTACATCCAGTACGGTTCCGGTCCCAAGCGGGTGCCCCTGCAGGACGTGCTGCAGTACACCCTGGAGTTTGTGGAGACCAAGGCAGCTATGCACAAGGCCGAAGACGTGGAGATGGGCTCGCCTTCTTCCAGGTGGGGGCGTCGGCCTTTTAATGCAGAATGGGCTATTTCACTGTCACCTTACTGTTTCCGGTTCCGGCACTCCCATTACGGGAAACCGTCACATGAAGGCTTTGTCGGCATTTGGGTAAAACTTGTGTTTTACTGATTGCGAGTGCCATCCAAACGCTGCCACAAAACTGGTGTCGCATCTGTAGGGCGCCTTTGGTGGGTGCCCTACGCAATATCCAGCACTACGGCTTTCATGACACCCCTTCGCACATTGCTTTTTGTCTGCATTACTTTGGCTGCACTCCAAGTCTTGCTTCAGTAGATCCGAGATATTCCCACGGGCTGCGCAGCACAAGAAGGTAAAGAAAGGAGCAGAAGGTGGCAAATCCCGAGCGATAACATCGGCGGTCCCGAGAGAAAGAGCGAGAAAGGGATCAATGGAAGAGCAGAGAAAGAGAGCAGATAAAAAGTAAGGTACAGTGGACTCCCATTAAACGAAACTCGCTTAAACGGAAAATTCGGATAAACGGAACTCTAAAGGTTGTTTCGGTTGGTTTCCTATGTATTTAATGATAAATTCTTCGGGTAATCGGAACCCCCCTTTTTGCTTACTTCGGTTAAACGGGACCGAAACCGAAACTACCCATGGCGACCGCGGACATCGGAAATAGCTACAGCAGTCTCACAACCATGGAGTACGCAATAGCCAAGACTGTGGACACTTTAAAGGGAAAGGGGTTGTGTTAGAACAAAATTTATACAAATATTATTATAAAAAAAAAAAAAAAGTTGTTAGGCTAGGTGACGCGAGGTGCCGCTCGTTACAAAGGGTACGGTACAGCCATTCATCCATCCATCCAAGCCATTATATTAAGGCAATCCAATACAGTCTTTCTACCGCCATTAGGGTTAGCGCCTCGTCTGTTGCGCGTCACGTTTACCATCGAGTACACAAACCAGCGTCCGCTTGCCGTGTTGTGATGGAAGCGGTAAAAAAGCGGCCGCACCAAGCGATCTCGCTTGCTACGAAAATGAAGATCCTTCAAGAGCTGGATCGTGGTGACCTCTCGAAGACGGAGATCGCAAGAAAGTTCGATATCCCGAAGTCTACACTCTCAAGGATATCAAAGGACAAAGAAAAGATTCAAGACGCTGTAAAGCGCGGAAGCTTTGCCACCGACCGAAGGAGGATGCGAAAGACGCCTTTTGAGGAAATAGAGAACGTCCTTTTTCTCTGGTTTAAGCGCGCGCGAAGTGCTAATTTCCCGATCAGCGGCCCCATCCTCGAAGAAAAGGCTGGAGAGATTGCGTCTCAGTTGGGAATAGATAACTTCAAAATGAGCGACGGTTGGCTCAGCCGTTTTAAAAAGCGCCACGGCCTAGTCTTTAAGACTATTTCTGGGGAAGGTGCAGCAGTCAACAGAAACCTTTGTACCTCCAAGGCATGCACACCTACTTCGTCAAAAAGCGATTACAAAATGCAAAACAAACTACCATTACCTCTTTTTTCTAGTCAGCTACATTAGCTGGACATCATGCTTGTGAAATAAAGTCATATTTCACTCATTTTATGTGCTTTGCTTTAATGAAACTTCTGATAAACGGAACAAATTTTTCTGTCCCTTCGAGTTCCGTTTAAGAGGAGTCCACTGTATTTTGTTTTGCCGCAATGAGTTGAAGTCGTTTGAGCGCTTGTCAACTTTATTTAGTTTTATACACTACATGATCTCAATGTTTTCCTGCAAAGTACGCTAGAAGAGAACCAAGTACAGGCCTTACAGGTGGCGTTTTGATGCTTCTCTGTGCATATTAAGGCATTGCCAGCGATATGGGCCTATCGAGACCACCAACTGGTACCGCTGACGTCTGCGTTTATGCACCGCCGTTCCCAAGCAGCGCCAATGCATGGGAGGCATAGGACATTCCCTCTAGGTCAGGGGCCGGCAACCCCCAGCTCGCGGGCCGCATGCAGCCGCGAGGCAGTTTCATGCTGCCCCCAGCACGGCACTGCAAAAGAACACCCTCCCATTCCCACCCACCCCCTGCCGCTTCTTCCCACAGAACATATACTCAAGGACCATGCGACAGTTTTGACATCAAATGGGGTTAGACATGAAGAAGAAGCACTCTCAGTTGGCATTGTTCGGCATCTCCATACCTGGACAGAGAACGTCTTCACTTCCTTTTTGCTCTTTCTTTGCCTGCCCCCGCCCCCCCCCCCGCTTTGCGAGTTGCCATCTGCCCCCATCTTTGTCGGCTTCGTGATGACTTGGCCCGCCGCTGCAAAAAGGTTGCCGACCCCTGCTCTAGGTTATTATATTATCTCTATGACATCACGTGATCAAGCTTGAACGGCCCTATTAGCAGACGCTAATTGAGCGAGTTCCAGGCTTTCAGCGTCGCTGCCAAGCCTGCATTCTTTTTCTTGGAAGCAATAGGATTTCTTTTGGCAGCATAGAGTGTGCAAATCTTGTTAATTACAAAATAAGTACTACAGTTGAACCTCGATGTAACGAAGTCGGTAAAATTCGCAATTTACTTCGTTACATTGAAATTTCGCTAAATCGAAATTTAACTTTAGCATGCGAAAAAAAAAAAAAAAAAAAAAAAATCCGAAACATTTTACGGGTATGAAAACTCACCGAAAATGACATTTATTTAGGGGCAAAGTAGTCCGCGAGTTTTGCTTGCGCCTTGTCCGACAGTAGCAGCGGCGTCGGCGGCGTCATACGGCGTTCGAGCGCCCAGAGCGCTTGCACGGCATCTTGCTGCCCATGCGACGCCGTGTACCTCCTCAGTACGTCCATTGCGTCGAGCACTTCCCGAGTGCTCGTGATCTCGGCAGTTTCTTCAGGATGGCGTCCAAAACGTTTGCTTTCTCATCCAAAAAAGAACTTTACGTTTCCTTATGGCAGCAAGCACGTAAGTGAACTGCCCGGTTAAAAAATAAAGCTGTTTAGTTTAGGCGGTGCCAATGTTTCCAACCTACACAGCACTCTTGACCGCACAGTTTACTTGCCCCCTTGCGCCCACAGTGTGCTTGCGCCTTTGCTTTACATCACGCTCGCAAGACGATAATCGGTCTTTTCGGTCTTCTCCTAGATGGCACTGCCCGTGCGGCCGCGCGGTCGCGCCATCACGTCGCTCCCCCGCTGAAGTTGGCTCCCGCGGTACAGTGGACTATGATGATCAGTGAATGCCAGTGGTGATGCTGTTATGCCGTGTTTACTTTTTGCTCGGCATTTTCTGGCCAGCCTCGCGAAATCCGCTTTGCCGCATGCCTCGCGGGCGCTACCGGCGCCGCATCCTCGGGCAGCCTAGGAACGTTGGAAGGCCTGTCCCCGTGAAGTAACCTATCAAGCGCTCGCGTTTGCGCATAATTTTTTTTTTTAAGCCACAATTTTTTTGCGAAGTTGTTTTTTAGAGTTGATTTATTTATTGCCTTCTATGGCAATGGCGCTTCGTTATATTGAAATAGCAGCAAAATAGACTTCGTTATATAGGGACTAAAAATACATGGGGTCTATGGGCAAGAAATTATGAAAAATAAAATACTTCGTTAAATCGAGGATTTCGTTACATTGAAGTTCGTTATATCGAGGTTCGACTGTACTCATTTTTTTTTAAATAAATATAAAACAAAAAGTTGAGTTTATCCCCCTCTTTATTTTCTTTTATTTTTCTGAAGAAAAATATAATTTTAGGTTTTACTGTTTCAGCTAGATTTTCACACTCTGCAGTTCATGAAGAACCAACCTGACTATTTAGGTTACTCTATCTTAATAATTTGAATAAAAAGCTCGAGGCACACCTAAGCACTTCTTATGAGTTGTGAATGCGAAAGCATGCAAGCCGCTTGTCCGCTCCCTTTTCCGTCTGCTGCATGCTTTTCGTTGCCGGTCAGCGCGCGCGCTCCCCTGGGCACGCTGACCTTGGACCCCTTGGACGCTCCGTGTTAACGACTCGCTGATGGACACGCAGCGCCATGGGGTGGGCGGTCGTGAAAACTGACGAGCGCAGCCCTAACCTCCGAGACCCCAGAGCGTGCGCAAGCTTCGGGATCTCGGAGGCCATGGCGCAGCGGCCAATGGGAGCCCCGTCGACGCGCGCCAGCCAATGGAACTGAAGGCTGTAGAAATTCGCGTACCGCCGCCGATTCGCCATTCGCCACGTGGTCCGTCAACAACCCGAGTCCAGCCTGGTTCTTTCACGGGAGCGGGATTCCGCTCCCCGTTTATTGGTACATAAAACACAATGCTACAAAACACTCAATCTAAACTACAAATACATGCGACATTACACAAATATTTACAAACGTACGTTAAGCCCAAAGCTAAACACAAAGAGGGCTTCCAGGCCTCGTGTCCCGTGATTACCCTAGATCTGGTCGCCCCTTACTTGCCTGGGCTCGGTAGCGCCCGAAGTTCTAAGAGCCTCTGCGCCCCCTGTCTACCGAGTATATCTCGATCGATGGGCGAGGAGGTCTCTCCTCGCCCGCCATGGGGCGCCTGCAGCGCCATCCAGTGGCTAGAAGAGAAACCGGCACGTCGGGAGCCGAATTCGAGATCCCGATCGACCCCGCGGCGACACGACCATGGGATCGTGTCTGAGGCAAGGCAATTGCATAGCTGCCTTGCGGCCAAGATGGCAGAGTGGTTTGATGGGCACCCTCGTGAATGCACGGTGCGCCATAAGGCGAATCACTCCTATTGGGATTGTGGAAACTAGGAGCTGTTTTCGTACTTCAAACTGACGACGTCAGCTCGCTCCATGAGACAGTTAATGCTTTCACATTAAAAAATTGCGTGCGCAAGATGGGTGTCTTTTTGTGCATGTTATGCAGCGCAGATACTCAACTATAGTCGGTTACAAGTTAAGAAGGTAGTAGAAGCCCCTCCCCATAAGCGTGATGCGCCCGCTTCAGACGCCTCCGCAGTCGAGAAGATAGTTCGCTGAAAACGCCCCTTCTACTTCAATGGATGGATATTGACTACAGACAGACCTTGTAGCGGGCGGCAGCT